TTTGTGCTTAGGTACCACCCAGAGGGCACAGCTTTAAATACTAGCTATGTAGAATAAATTCTGCTCAGCAATACCACTTTCTCTCCTGACCAATTTATCATATACACTACATCCTAACTTCACTGTTTCCCTTGAAAATAAAACTGATTTTTGACTCTTCCCTAAGTAACTACAATCTCAACTATTTAGATAATAATTTTGCCAAAATTATCCTTCTTTGTCAGGAAGCACTCAAAAAGTTATTCTCACCCAGTTATTAACCTACCTTCTCACGTTTTGAGAAACCATGTAGAAGAAAACACAGAAGAGTAAGAACTCCCAGTAAGTTCAAAGTTCTTTTCAATAGGCTCTTTTACCAGGCAGTTTTGATAAAGAAACGCTTGATTCCCCAGCAGACTTCCACGTAGACCCCTACTCTTGTCTTGCCTGTATACCAGGGGTCTTTATCTGCACTGGCAACACAACAAAGCAGATTATCTTGAAAATAACTTTAGTAAATACATGCATGAACAAGACATATACATGGTATTTTTGACTTAAAAATGGATTCATGAACAAAGATTGTTTTAGCTTGGCTTCCTTAAATAGGCTGAAATCGTACTGCCAAGTCTTCTTCAGAACATCTGTCCTGTCCCCTCTAATTTTTGAACTGGCTTTCTAGGTATTTAAAAAAAGGGTAGATATGTTCTTTTAAGTTTTTTTTGACAACAGCTACGTAGCGAAGGGAGACCAAATTAATGCCCAAGTGAAGGAAAAGTTGGGACAGCTTAGCTCTTAAAGGCTCTGCTTGCCATCCTATCAGCACGTATACCAACTATCCAGTCAAAACAGATGGAGCTTTAAATTAGCCAGGTATGGTATGAAGGATGCTGAAAGAGGACAAGACTTGGTGAAGGGAGTAAGAGAAATGTAAAACAGAAGGCACAAATCTATAAAAAACAGGGTTGACAGGTTCTGCTGCCTACAGACCAACCTGTTCATTTTTATTTTTAAAGGAATTTAACCTAATAAGCCTAAAGTTTGACAGTGGTACGTGCCAATTCTCCATCTGAAGCAAACTCCAGTGTATGCAGCTACACACAACTGAATATATGGATGTTATTTTCTGTAAGATAGTCTATTACCAGGCATTAATCTAAATGGATGAGGTTATCCCACATTTAACCATTAGAGGGCTTTCTTCTATTACAAAAAAAAAAATTGTCTTCCTATTCAGTGTTCAGTGTCTTTGAAAAAAAAAAAATCTAGTTAGACAGAATGAGTGCTGTCTTTAAATGCAATCCATAAAGCTAAGTTCTCTAAGTAGTTGAAGTAAAGGGGAATAATTTGTAAGATTAGAGACACTACTATGAATGCCCAGCTGCTTCAGGATAAATTAAAAAATCTGAGCCTGTTTCACAAACAGCTACTGAACATGGATCAGTGACATTTCTAGTCTGAGATGTTTTACCAACACATACCTTGTTCCTGGGTGAGCATGCAGGCTGAAGAGCACAGACCTGATGAGCTGAACAGCATCTAAGGTTTGCTTTTAACAAAGCCAGCAGGTGAAAGACAGAACACAGATGGCACTAAGTGCAGCACAGTGAAAAGCAACACTAATCTCACTGGGGCAAATAGTTGTGTACGAAGGTTCAATGCAAAACACTGAGAGCAAGGGGATCATACCCCAAAGACTGCTGAAAATCTTGGCTTAGCAGTAGCAGGTTCACTGCCTTTGTCTCAAATGATGTAAGTTTACTGAGTAGCAACCAAGTTACTCTGCACAAATTTAGAAGCATCAAGAAAGACATTTGCAAAAGTAGAAGTATTTGTTACACGTTCCATTATAACAGAAAAGTACTGGTCTCAGGTGCTTGACAAGTGTATTCTTCTACTCTGAGTAGGTGTTACAGTCCTTCACAATGTTTTCCCCACATTCCCATCATACCTGAATCTTTTAGTCAGGGAAAGACTCCTCCATTTCCTCCTCCAGCAGAGACTCCAAAGAACACATCACAAAATTATAAGGATGCCACAGAGAATTCTAATTACTCAAAAGGATGGTGGGATTTTTTCTGTTGGTTTTGTTTGTTCCAATAGTATTTGTTCATGTAATATTTTCCCACTAAGAACCATATTAATAGTCTCTGAATCCATACCTAGATGCTTTCTGGAATGGGTATTTTTTGTGAAGTTATGGAAAAACCTTAGTAAAAATTGACTTTCAGAGACATGGACATTTGTCAGACTCATACTTTTATACAATAAGCTCTGAAATGTATGCATCTCCTCTAGCTATCTCAGTGGATAATTACTGGGTTCAATATTCTTATTTATACACCAGGTGTAAGTAACCTTACCCTTTGAAAGCCTCTGAACAATCTTCCAAATTTTCCACTAATCCAACCTGTTTGGGTAGCTACGGTGATACAGAAAAACTTAAAAAAAAAATCCTTCTGCTGGCTGTTCTATACCTAGGTACAGATTAACATGCCACCACCCCTTGCCCCCCTTAAAAATCTCATCTAATTGTCTCTCTTCTAGCATAGAGGACTCGATACTCCCTCATTCTGGTTCTCTACATTAAGGATTAATGTTACTGATTCACTCCAGGATTACTGAATTGGTATGGTATGGGCTGAGTTACTTAGGAGATTTACATTTGTTAGTACCTAAGGACTTAAGTTCATTGAAGATACCCTGAACAGCCTGGGTATACCCTTTAAAAGTTCTGCCACTCTATTTCTGCAAAATTTAGATATACCCTGAAGATAAGGATAGCATGAATAGAAGCAAATTCACTGATCACCTAATTCCCTGCATAGCCACTCCAGTATAATACCATCAAACCAGACAGCTCGAGTATTACTACTCACTGCAGCAAGTGTGTAAGCAGCACAAGCACCTGGTGTCTCCTGATAACATGCATACTGTGACATGAGTAAATATCTACACTAGCCTGCATTTCACAGTTATGAAGGCGGCATCAAATTGACACAAAACACTGGTTTCCAGGTATGCCATATGCAGTCTTCTACAGAAATCTTGCCTTATTCATTTCACACTGGATAAAAACACCACATCATTTCACATGACTACTTTATTCTAGATTGATGTGCAACTGCATGAACTATTTGTAGTTTATATAAGACATGAATGGTTTGTGTTCTTGACTTCATGTTACTCATTACCAACCTTTAAAACTTTCAGAAGTAACACATGTATTCTCAAAAGAAACACCTTTATAAAAATAGTTTAATACTATCAGTTACTAACAGTAAAGTGGCAGAGACAGAACTACATTAAGCTTAAAGTGGCCAACTCAAATTAGATGCATTAACCTAAAAAAGAAAAAAAACAAGCAACCTAACAGTAGCTGCAACTTGAAAGTGTTCCCAAGTAGCTTCATATGCAGCTGTCTGTCAGGCCTATCATTGAAGTTAAAACCCAAGACACCCCGAACAGTTACTGCGCTACCTAGGAAGTCTAGTTTAAATCCCTTTTAGCCATTATGTAGAAGCCTTAAGTAAAGGCATCAAATGATTGTAGGTAGTCATGGAAGAGGTTGGCTTGACCTTCAGACCACTTTCATTGAAGGGGAAATACGGGAAAAAAGTTCCAAAGCAAAATGCGGCTCAAGCTACAATTATGTACTCAACAACAAAAATGCTTAAGAACCAGGGACACTGTTGCCAGAAAGTGTGCTATAAGGAAAACAGTCTTGGGAGAGCAGAGAGGGCCTCCTCCATGTAGTAAGCAAGATGAACTATTACTTTGCTGCCTTTTCTGGAAAAAAATCCATTTGAGAGAGATAAGACCAGGTGAGGTGACTTTAACAAAAGGTCCTGTATAGTAAACAAGATTGAAGTGTCCACCTAGCTCTTCCAGCAGTTGTTCTAGAGAACTTGGTAACCAGCTAGTGGACATCTACTGAACTACACTGCTTCTAAGGAGTCTGCAAAAGGTCAACAACAGGCTTACCCATCATAACCAAGTTTTAAACTCACCTCAGTGGCCTGCACACAAAGTTTTTAAGGTCTCCCTCAAAGTCAGAGGATCCTGCTAACACACACACGTCCTAGCCTAGTAGCAGTATCAGTCTCAGATACATCACTTTCAGCATCTTCCCTGTGTTTTGTTATCCACAGAACATCACTGATAGGAAATGAAAAGTTGTAAGTAAACGCAGTTCTATTTATTATCCAGCAACATCCCATACAAAAGCAATGGAAACAACAACTGCTTTCAGCAGAAAATCTGTACAGTGTTATCATTTACAACAGTCTTACATTTAAAATCAGCAAATTAAACAGAATCAAGCACTTCACCTACGTATTGTTTTCTTGTCTGTATAACAAACCACTTGTAACTATTTACAAATATCAAATTCAGGTTACTGCTTCTTTAAAGCATTATTGCCTAGGCTTTACCATACTGACCTCCAATTTCTTGAGAGTATTTAATTTCCAATTGTTTCAGAAGCATTTTTGCAAATAAACAAGAATTGGCTTGCTATTGCTTAAAAAAAAAAGGTAAAGCAGTTTAATCTTACAGTGAATAACTGCAGTAGATGAGTTTACTAGTACAAATCAGAAGTGTGGTTCAGCTACCACCTGTATTACTTCAAGTCAGATACTTGTAGTAAAGCCAGATGGAAGTGCAAGGTAACATACATATGCTCAAAAATATACCCCTACTTTGCTTTGGATCTGCAGGTGGACAACTGATATTATGGACATAATGAGGAGAGGGAAAAAACCCAAATATTGCCAAGATCTTGCTGAACTATTTATAATTGTTTGAGGATAATATTGCCTTTGGCTATTTTTTTTCTATTTAAAAGTTTTATAAAAAAATCTGAAACACATAAATTAGAAGTTTAAAAGAAGTCACACAACTTAATTGTATTTTTACATAAATTTGGTCCAGAGAATACGTAGACCAATCACAACTTACAGAACAGTCTTCAACTTTGCTTAAGCTTTCTTACTATCAATAGTTTATGAATCAAGCTAATCTCTCAAATTTAAAAGAAACTTCCTCTAAAACAGTTCAGGCGTGATTATTTAACTCACAGTATCGAAATCTTTAAGTGGTTCACTCAAACACACTTCCAAGTCAAATTCACCTTCTGCTTGATAGTCAACATGTCTAACTTTGGTGGGAGTGCCAGAACAGGTGCCCTGGAATACAAAGTCAGTTAATAATTAGTTAAACACAGGTTTAGTTCTGCAATTACTCATTTCACTTCCATGATTCATTTAGATCACCCTATAACAGAGGCTTACAAACACTTTAAAGGCCATAAAAACCCCAAGTCTAGTCTTAAGATTGAAGAGACTTAAATGAAGGTTTCTGCCCGTTCAACCACGTTGTAAGATCTCTTGCAAAAGCTTTAAAGTTCTTTATATTAAACATTATACATTAAAACATTATACAGATTCAATATTCAGAGAAACAAATCTAGTTTGTTACTACATCTTTACTGAAGGTTGCTACATAGCTGTGGATATAAGAAGCCTACTTCAAAAAGTCTAAGTGCAAGAAATCACATCCTATTTTAACATTAGATATTGCAAACTAAAGTAGTATTTCCACTGTACATCACAGTCCATCACTGACATGCTCGAAATGGATAAATTTGTGTTTGCAGGCTATGAAAAATGAGACATCTGTCATTTGAGGTGGTCACTTAAGTTCTGACTCTCTTACAGATATTGGCTACAGCTGGGAAAATGTCTTAATTTGAAGATCACTCAGCTTTGTGAACTGCTCCTAAACATAAGGGATTATGGAATTTCTCACATAGTCAGGCTACTCTATATAGAATTATAAGTAATGGACCAATTGTTGACAAATATTTATGCAAACAGCAGATATGCTTACATCATTATCTTGACTGCTGGTTTGAGATTCAGTAGAATTGCTTCCAACAGATTCTGTCTCCATCTCACCAAGGTCAACAGGACTACTGTAAAGTAATTAACAGGCACACAGCTTAAAACAAATTCAGTTTCTCAGTAGTAACTAGTACTTTGTATGCGCAGTTCTGAAAACGATGGCCAAACAAGAGCAAAGAGACCTACAAAGATTATAGGGACAGTGGTGTCAAACTGCAGAGACAAAACAGAATAGTAGCTCAGCTCAACACAGCCAAAATGGCCAAGGACTAAATTTAGGTCTTGAGACTGAATATGGTAACTAATCAAAGACACATATCCAACACTCAAACAACACCTCAACACCAATGAGAACAAATGTTATGGAAGAGCCAGGAAGGTTTTGGGATTTTTTTTCACGTTTTCATCAATTTGTTTTGCAATGTAAGATTTAACATCCACTATACACAGAACTAGACTCCAACATCTGAAGACAGACTAGTGTTTCGACACCAACATCTACAGTAGGCTTCAAGCTGAAATACCAAGCTGTTAATACTTCTCACATCGATTACAAGTAAAAGGAAGCTAAAAGAAAGCCTTCGCTTTTACATCCCATTGCTCCACACTGGTTTTAAAACCAGCACCACTGTTAGTGAAAAACAGTAATTTATTACCACAAAACTGTTTCCAAAGGAATTAGTTATATCTGTGACCCTTCATTCTGTAGTCCCACAGCTTTATTTCAGTTGTTCCCTGATCAGCTTTATCGGTTTCTACAGATGAAAGTAACTAGTTAAATTCTTCTAGATCTTCTAGAGCAGAATACCATAGTAGCTTTGCCTGTGTTTGAGGTCAGGCTTTTAATTTAATGGTACCCTGAGATGATCTTACAAGTACTTTTTTCCTCCTCTCTACTCAAGAAACAAGAATTTATACCACCGTTCTTGAACCAGCAAGTGAGAAGCCATTGAGGCAGGATCTTGTACATGGTATTGGTCCAAGTTCAATATTCATTAGATCTGTCAATTAGCAAGAAGTCTGCAGACTGCTCTTAAAGAATTAGCCTGTCTTGATGGTGCAATATATTCTTTTACAGAACACTGCAGAATGAGTGCTAATTTCACCCAGTGAACACACATTAAAGAAGTAAGGGATATAATGTATGCCCTTCAAGACTATGTTGGGTTTGTTTGGTTTTTTTCCTTACATGAAAGTTTATATATATTTTTTTATAAAGGGATCTTGAATACTGTATACATACATTTCTTGCAGATCACATCCTTCTTCAGTAGGGGGATCCCAGGAATGCAATGCAACCTTCCATAGTTTAATTTGCTGGTCCCATGACCTACGGCTGTACTTCTTAAATTTATTTGGCGTTCTGGGATGAACTCCTGGTATACGATGGCATCTATTCATATATTAGACATGAAAAATTAATTAATGCTTTTCACACAGAGATACCATATAGCTTTGCTAAGACTGATTTACGTTAAGATTGACTGCTACACAGAATTTGCTGGGTTGTAATGAGCCTAAGTGTTTATATTATTTATGAGAAAAGACTACTGCACAATTCCAGCACTCAGGTGAAGAGCTGTCATCCCCGTATGAACATTTTAGTTTTTCTGTCTTCAAGTCAAATAAAGTATTCTCAGTCTTAGGTCTGAAAACTTCAGTATGAATTTTCTGCGTATAACATGTTCTAAACTTAAAGAGAAACCATAGTCCATTTTCTCTTTTCATTTTCTAATGAGAAAACAGACTGCGAAAGGTAGTTTCATTTCTTCTAGTTGAGAAGCGTAACAGAAAGCTTTCACTTCCATTTCGGCAGCATGAGAAATTTGAAGGAATATTCCTCAAGTACCAATTAGTAAAAAAAAAAAATAATCTGTGCCTCATGTGACTGTTACTGTCACTTGTCTGTTAAAAAAAGTCTTAGGTTTAATTTGCAGATGCTGTCTATTTGAATGTCTCAGAAACCAAGTTTAGTATGTTCATATGCTTATAAAGAACAGGTATGACTTGGAGTCAGTTTTCAAGAAACTCAAGCAGCTTACCTAGGAACTTCTTTAATGTATCTATCATATGCAATTGTGTTTTTCCCATAGTTTATCTGTTTTTGTCTTCTCATCAAAACCACTTCATCCGTCTCAAGTTCTACTGTTACCATGGACTCCTTTGAATCAGAACTAAAGGAAAAACATCATCATAAATTCAGGAGTACCAGAAAACAAGCAACACTGTAGAAGGTTAAAAAGAAACATGCTAAAACTTTTCAAATGAATGCTTGCTTGTGATGTTACTGAAATACAATGGTGAAGTGGACTTAAGATGAACTATTTCAAACTGAGCATTTTCAGAAGCAACAATGATATACTGAAAATTCAGGCCTATTGTCAGGATTTTCCTCAGCTAGGCTAGAAATTTAACCTACCTTCCAGAGGAGGACTTCCTTTCTCTTGAAAATTCATTTATCAAGAGCTTCCTTCTGTATCTGTAAGAGTTCAAATCCATATTAAGAATACACACAAAAGGAACATGATGTAAGGCTACACCATCACAGCCACCAGTTGATTTTACTTCTCAGCCAAGCAGCAGCCTTGAAGTCAACCCAGACACTGTAAATGCCTTTCCACTACAGAATGGATGTTTCAGTTCCCCCCTAAGGGCTTCCTTTTCCTAAGTCTTTTCCCTAAAAATGTTTTTATAGCAATGATACGCAAAACCAGTAACTATTGAAAGGACATTCAAAGTAATCCAATCTAAGAGATTTAGGAAATGATTCTTCCAAAAGAGAGATATTTAGTGATGACACATGTGAACTCTCCAGAGTACGCTATGTCATTCCTGCAGCACTTAAGCCAAAGCTGACCTAGAAGCCACAGAGGAGAAGCTAAGGTTGGTCTGACTTTACCACAATGGTCAAGTTAAAAATAAAAGTCAATACAGGCTCTACAAGACAATTACCATTTCCCCTCCTTCTCCCCCTTCATTTTAACACACATGGGTACCTTGCAATTTCTTTGTTAACATTGGTTCTCATTTCATCTTCTTCCACTGCAGTTCCCCAGTCCAAACACCGAGGAAGGGGTCCAGGGCCTTCTGGTGTTGTAAAACTGGAAATTAAAAAAAAACAACAACAAACCTCCATGTTAAAAGTTTACTGTATTGTATTTCGCAGCCCACCTCAAGCGTCTCCCCAATGCGCAGCTTGATAGCCATTTAATATATTCATTTACAGTACTCACGATGGCTGTGAAAATCTTGTATTGTTCTATTAAATCATAAAATTCAGCCTCAGTTGAGAGTTCTACCACAAGGTTGTGTGGTTTGGGGCTTGGGCTTGGTTGGTTTGTTTTTTCATAAAAGGTTTATGTAGATATCTAGAGATATACCACTGTAGCATGTAACCTAACCTACACTGTTAATAACTTCAAGCTGGTGTCCTTCAGAAAATGGTATTTGAAACACCAACTTTACTCATTTACTCACTTATTTTCACTCCACTAAATGAGTTAACAAATATTTGTTCTTTCATGATTGCAGACTCATTAGCTATGCAAGAGACAGAAGTCAGATCACAGAATTAAACTGTGCAGCTAATTAGAATTACAGGAGTTCCTCACTGTGAAAATGTACCCAGTAGAGAAGGCAAAGGCACAAAAGACGACAATTTTTAGCTAGTACTCTGAGATTTGCTATGAGCTTGCAAACTGGTATTTATCAAATTCTGACTGTTGCAGGGGAATAAGCTTAAATCCTTTCCTTGCCAACCCAGTTGCCGACATTCATATTATTAAGTATCTTTTCCAGTTTCTGTCCTCCTGATGACCAATTTTCCTACTAAAGTACAAACTTGAAATTATATCCTACAGACCAGTTTTTTCAATCTGAAACACTGGAGGACTTACCAGGACTCAGTGCAAAGGAGTCCCTTGAACTCAGGGAATTAGATCCATCTGTGCTAAAACCTCCCTGCTTCCACCTCAAAAACCGGCTTGCACTACTTTGAAGTTCTTGTTAAATTCAAACGACAAGTTCTTTTTAGATGAAGCCCAGTTACCAACTCACCTTTTTGTACTACTTTAATTCTGTACCTGTGCTGTATTTACAGAGAATTGTGGAGAACATTGAGAGGGTCTACAGCATATTTCTTTTAACTAATTTGCTCTGTGACAGTACTGGTGCTACATATACTACTTTTCGCCATCTTTCTTCAGACCCTCACCCCCAAGACTTGGTGAGAAGCTCTGGCGCTGTGCTGGGACTGCAAACAGTGCTTAAACTCTGCCAGAGGGGCAGAAAACAAAGGCTATAACCTCCCTGACTGAATCCGTTCTATGACCCAGCCTCCACTCCAATCCTCTTCCCATTTCAAAATGTTATTCTGACGATGTTGAATCGGAATAAACAAAAAGCAGATTTAGCACAGAAAGAGAACAACTTCAATCAGAGCTGAATTCAAACTAGATCACAAAGTGCCCCTGTTCAGTTTAATACTGGAAGACACACAAAAGCATTGCTTATTTAGGTTGAAAATGCTGAAGCAACCTGTAAAGCTTAATCTTTGTACTCCTATCCAAATGTGCTCCTTGAAATTAGTTTCATTTACAGTGGATATCATAATTTGAGGTACTGTTTATTATCAGCAAAGAAAAATGGGTAGTTACAGGGCACAACCTATGTCACTCTAGATTAGAAATCTAGATTCAAAACTAGGCTGCAGACCACAATTCCCATCCACTGACAAGAAAGACTAAAGGGACTGTGGCATGAATAGCCCAGATGTAGTTTGTGATGTATAAAATGATACTTCAACTAAACTGAAGTTTACCCAGTGCTGGGAAATGGTCAGGAAGGCAGTGAACAGCAGTACAGAGTGAGTGACCTCAGAGGTGGACCCCACCACACACGTGCTCACATATTTAGACAAGCTTTCAAGATGGTCTGTACTGCCTTCAGAAATATGAAGACAGAGGACTTTCAAGACTTGTTTTTAATTTGTTTTTTATCATAACACTATGTACAGCCTACATTAAAAAACAAATATAACTGGCTTGTGCAGTTATTGCTTCATGATAAATAGCAAGCAAGCATGAACAGGAAACAAAATGATGAAGAATATAATTCAAGACGTAAGAATGAAAAATTAGTATTGTTAAGAAGTGACTCTAAGATAAGAATGCTGCACTAGATCATTTTCCCTCCCTAAAGATGAGATACTTATGGTCAACAAATGATTTATAAATACGCAAGGTTTGAAAAACTGAGTACAACACTCAATTCAACAGCTCCTAATGAGCAAAAGAGCAGAGAGCTGTTTCTATTTGCGAACATCACCTACCTGTCCTGCCTGTTGTCAAAAGGCCTGTACTTGTTTTCATCAAGACTGGATGAATCAGATTCGTTCTGCCTTCTTCGCTTTCCATCTGCGCCACGTTTCCTTCCTTGGGACCAGCGAGGCAGGGGCTGTGGGCTGGCAGCAGACAAACGAAAACATGAACACATTAGGTAGTTTTATTTTATTAACCTCTTTGAAACATCATCCTATGCAGACATCATGTATTACTAATTTTACTTCAAGAAATCGAGCTTCTCAACAAAAATAGGTGTGGGCCTCAGGAGTCCCTCTCACAAGGACGTTCCCCTGCTAACGGCCCCCCTGGCGACCCACACTCGCAGACAATGGTTGGGCATAGTAGACCCTGGCGCTTACACCCCTTCTTCAGCCCCGCTTCCCTCCGGACGGCCCAGCCCGCTTCGCTTTCGCTGGGGGACTCGCAAGGGGGGAGCGGCCGCGCCGCCGCCGAACATGGCGGACCCCGGCCAGAGGCC